TAACTAAATGCATAAAATCCTGTCAATAGCCTACTATAACACCAATTTTTAAATTTTTTTTTAAAGTACCTCTCAACTCTGCATGCCTCAAGCCGAGGACCCTCACAAGTTAGATCCTCAAGATTTCCTGTACAGTCCTGAGGAAGAAAGGATGCATTTTTCCACATTGCAATGAACACTGAGAACTGGGATTACTTGTCCTCCACTGGAAACTTTCTGCATGCTTTTTAATACCCAGGCTGAGACAGGCTTAAACTGCAGAGCTCTGTACCCAGAGGACTGCTGTTCCTGTTCTCATAACCAAAAGCTTTGTCCTCTGACACACGTGCCCAAGCTAGCCCCAACATAGGAAGAGGTACCTGTGGGCTACCATCCAGGCTGCGATGCTGCGGGGCAAGGACACGAGGGGCAAGTGAACTGTGGGAGGACTAGTGGGACCCCAAGAGATGGGCCAGAAATTAAGGTTGTTTGCTCAGCTAAGGGAGCGAGGAAGGGGCTGCCAGGGAAGTGGATGTAGGCTGAAAGCACCAGGGCCTTCTTACAGTCATACCCCCTATAGCTTGAACTCTCCTGGGGGAATCAAGAAGAGAGGCTACCTACATGGAGCTATCAGTGCAGGTATAATGCATATATTACCAGCTGGGCAAGTATTTTATAGTCATTATACTTTCCTTCTTCAGCTGTCCGGATGCAATATACATCTCCGCTTCTCATCCTTCCAATGTAGCCGAGGCTTCTTGGAGCAGCTCTTCCTATGCTGCCTTCTGCTATTTCTTCCCTCACTTCCTTTCTTTTCCTTGTTGTGCACACAGGGAATATGCACATTTTCCCAGATTTGCTTCACTTGCCATGATTTTTCAGATTAAAATGTCTGTAAAGAATGGCTTTCTCTTCAGAACAAGAACTACTACTAAGTAATTGTTGAGTTTAGAAAGAGGGGGCAAACCAGTTGCTGGTTTGGTTGTAGTAGGAACAACAGTAAAGCACTGTAACACCTAGCTAGAATGCGTAAAAAGAATAAGTTACATAAGAACCTAAGACAGGCACAATCTTCCTCCTACAATAGTTTAATGCTGATAAGATTCTGCCAAATTTAGTGGAGTTTTTATGCATATCATGCATCCCATTCATAAAGGTGAAATCAAGGCTGTTAAGTTGTGGAGTAAATTCTTAATTTATCACTGGAAACTGTTACCATTGGGGCTAAACCTACCCGTTTTTTTTCCTTTGTTAGCTAACTCTGCATCCAGGACAGAATCTAGCACATTTGAGGATCTTGCTATCACCTTTACTTACCTGAGACTGCAATTTCCAAATATCTGGAGGAAAACAACATGCTAAGGTTGCAGGAGGTGTGACAAGTCCACTTGCTCCCAGGGAAACTGATAACGGGCCTGAAGGATTAACATGCTTCTGGCACTCTGCAAATGGGTCTTATTAAAGAAAAGGACAACAATAATCCCAAAATGGTCCAGAATTACCATCAGAAAGCAGAGATTGTTCTTGAGCTGTCCCACAGTGAAATAAACTGCCAGATGACCAAACGAATAGAAAGACATTGTTTCCCATAACTAGCTGGATTTTTTTTAAAGTATCAATATTTGGTACTTTTTTGTCTTTCTCTATCTGTTGCAACCGTACCCACAGTCTCTCATTCTTCTTGTGACCTTCTCCACTGACTTTATACCCTCCTTCACAAAACAAGGCCAGAGACACGTTCAGGTCAGCTAGGTACTGCTCTCCATAGCACTGACAACAGCATTCATGCTGCCCGTGACCAAATAGCAGAATTACTCACTCAGCACAGGCCTGATCGGGGATCATGCTCCTTCTTGCAGGTACTAGTGTCATTGGTGATATGGCAGCAGACTTAACAGGAAGGAGTTCTGGACAAGAGTGTCGACTCCAACACAACACCCTTCTTCCCAGGGGCAAAGCCCTTCTTTAGGGACTTTACACACATGGCAGACCTGCTCTGATACTTCACTGGAAACAGCACTGTTCCCTTCTATGCATTGAAATTTTATTTCTACTGATTGGTTGCTTGATGTCAGGCAACTACCAGGTATTTTTACAAAAAAAACCCCAAAAGCTTAAAGGAAAACAAAAAAAAAAAAATGACTAGAGGACTGAAGCAATAATATCTGAGCAGAGTCACACAAGTTAATCACAGAAGACTAAGGTGGAGGAAAAGATCAAATCCTCACCTCTAATAGGCCTCGAGCAAGCTATTTACAGTCTCAGAAGAGTACTGCTAAAGCAGCGGGAGCACTTGTATTTACAAATACATTTCTTGCTGCTGCCAAGCTCCAGAGCTACTCTAACTTAAAATGGAATGCAAATAGATAAATGTGATCTTAGACTCCCACTTGCTTCACATAGCTAAAACCAGGATGTTTTAATAGACTTTTTGTTTGCAAAGCAGACCATAAAGAGGACTATGCCTTCCTGCCTGCAGAACTCCAACATTTTGAGCATGGAATGAATTCCAGCCCTTTCCTTGTGTACAGATATTTGGTTGTTGGGGTTTTTTTGACATGCCTTGGAGAAGCAGATGGGCATGATGTAAGATACTAAACCGCCAATCCAAGGACTCGACAGCTGTCAGAGAAACTCTCATCTCCTCCAGTTTACCTTTCACTTGTCTACACACTGTCCAGTCCCCAACATAAAATACACCTACACAGACCACAGACTCAAAGTTCACCAGGAGAGCACCTGTAGTATGCTCTTGCGTATTCTTGGACACTGCTAAGCACTCCAGTATCCCCGACAAGCTATCAGATATTGCCCCACACACCCTTTCACATCATTACCAGATCACTGCAAGGAAGAAAAAGAGGCAAGAAGCCTCACCCCACCTGGGAACAGGCATCTTTCTAGCATTAGAGGTGCTTTTCAGAACAACGTAAGTGTTTGGGAGGATAGGAGAAGAAAGGCTTCTGGCTTCCACTCTCACTTATATACAAGGAGAGAGGGGTAACCCAAAAATACAAAGAATGATAGTTTCTTGTGCTCCTCTATATCAAGACTTCCTCCAGCCCCCAGTACACCTGCAGTTCAGAAGTATTTCAGGACTATCTTCAAGTTCAGATGGGAACCAACAAACATATTAGAGAACACCAACACAGAAGGATGTAGCTCACCTTAGGTTTGCTACAAAATGCTTCTGAGCCTGCCACCTACAAACAGAAACATCATATACAAACTCCCTCCCAACAGGCAAAAATCCTACCTAACCCCTCAAATAAGAGGTTCCTCCTACCTGGTCTAAGTTGCAGAAGTGGCAGACTTAGCTATGTTTTCTTTTTCAGAAGTTTCTGAAAACAGAAATGTAAGGAGATGCCTAGATGCAGTGAAAGGGGAATACAGGAGAAAAGCAGAAATAGCCAGGGAAGGCATACACACTAGAGTAAATGAACTCCAGTTCAGGTATCAACATCTAAGCATTGGTGCTCTTTTATAAAGGACAGAATCTCAGCAAAGATTCATTTCTAAAAAATGCAACTTTTTAATATTGAACACCTTAAAAAAAACCCACTAAAATACAAACTTTAACCATCGCTTTGAAGAGGGGATTCTCCTTCTAAGCAAAATGAAATCAAGCATCCAAGAAACTACGAACAGTACCCCAGAGTTTCCGTAGAATGTCAGCAACTGTTACTGGAGCTCTCAAGTCTAGACCCATATAACTCTGATATGCTCAACTGATGGAAAACAAACCCCAAACATTTCAGTACAAGTTCACATCGAAGGAATGCCCTTTAAGGCTTCTCAGTTTGGCTTTAATGAATATCCTACTAAGTTAAGACTAATACAAAACCCTACATAATAAGAACCAGTGTGTGATTTTCACAGTTTGTATTCACAGAGAGGCATACCTGATCCCACAGAGTTTTATCTTTCGACCAGAATCTGCACTGTCACCAACAAGGCAACTTGTTAAGAGAAGCAGTGTTTCCCATTCTAAAAACCTAAACCATATTTTATTAATTACTAACAGTGCATCCTTTTAACAAGACACCATTAAAAAAAAACTCACAAAACCAACAACCCATAAATAGAACATCAGTACAAGAGAAAGATTTTTGGCATAGGCACAAGCCCCAAAGTTTCTTTATCCAGCAGCTCTTCAAAGGTAAATCATAGTTAGCTTTTTTGCACTTTTGAAGCTCAAAGGCTCTGACACTGCTACTAGCCTGTGTCACTGACAAAAACAAGGTGGTAGAAAGGACTAACGCTTCTTAAAACTCTGCACTTATTAGCCTTAAAAGGCCCCATGTTGGAGTCCTGCAGGAATGGGGCCGGGGGGGGGGGGAAATCATGTTTCACAAGACGGTGCACCCGAGTTTCTCAGTATTCCTCCCCAAATGGTAATTATTTATCCCAGTCCTGCCCCCAATGAACCACTACATAACAGTCAACAACATGTAATAATCCAAATAGGGAATGACAGAATATCTAAAAAACAGACTCAAGTGAGTTGACCTCTGAACAAAAGATCCTACATAAACCAATTTGGCTTTTCCTCATATACTGTTAGTAAGCTAGGTAGACATGAATGGTGGCGTTTTGTTGGGGTTGGGGGAAGGGGTGTTTATTTGTCTTAACAAAAAGCAGAAAACATTTCTTGTAGTTTTAGTAGTGATGCTGGCCTAAAAATCAGCTAAGGACACCCAATTTAAATTCTTCCTGAAGCTTTTGCAAATGGATGCTGGGAATAGAGGTGCAATTAAACTGAACACCTTTACATAAGCATGTTGCTTACCTCTATTACAAATCAGACTTAATAGGAGTTACCTAAAGCATCCCCAATGATTTTATTATTAGCTTCAGCTCGTTACCAGGTAGATAAATATGCTTAAGTTTTATGCATTATCTTATATACGGATGTTGCACTTAACTAAACCCTGGTGATAAAGATCTCTTGAGCTGTCTTGACAAAATACACTGGCCAAAATGTCTGCATGCTGCAATGAATGGATGGGCAGTTGATTTGATCAACTGCTGTTTGCACCTTGAGACATATATCTTTCCAAGTCTGAGTGTATGGTCAGCATTTTCATAGGTACTACAATTTCAACATTAGAACACAGGGATCACATGTCTGAGTGAGAAAACAGTACAAAACAGTAGCCACAGTTGTTTACACTGGACACAATCACAGTACAAAACTGATCAAGTTGTAGAAGCTGCAGGATATTGAGAGACTGGGAGCTGAGTCGTAGGCGGAATCCCAGGAGCAACTGAACGGGATAAGAGACTGGCATTTTCAGAGAGGAGACTGCTGGGATTAAGAAGGGGAAAAGAAAGAGACGCCACTGCAGCTGCCTGCCGTCCTAGCAGAAGTCCTAAGCTATAGACATTTGAATTAATGAGATCATTGCCTGGAAGGAGTATATTCAGTTGTTTCTGAATTTCTTGCAGGACCTGCAGCTGACTTTGCTGATTCAGAAGAAGCAAATCCATATTTTCCCTCATTTTCTTCACTGTACGAAGAGAAGAGAATGTTAATGCTTGCTATGAAAAAATACTTCGCACGGCAATCTAGAAGCCTTTTTATACTTACACTCTTCAAGAAGTAAATCCAAGCGATCCTCCTCACGTTTCTCTGCACTGCACCTTTGCTCTTCTTCATGATGCAGAGATGCAAATTCAGAATGGTCTGCATCTAAAAGGAAGACAGTGTAAGTCAAGAGCCCACTTTATCACCAGTTACTAGGTCAGCATTTTAAATAGGCTTTCACACAAGGAAAAGGCAGCTCAGTGACAACCCTTCCTCTCATCCACATTTTGAACTTAAAACTTCATTCAGGTCACATGTTGGCCCAAACTAAGCCAAACCAGAACACAGACTAGGCAGATATAGCTGCCTGAAACATTACAGACTTGGGGTTTAACACAATCAAGATATCTCCCTCTTGCTTCTTCCATACTTTAAGTTGCAAATATGTAAACCTCTTCTTTGAAATCATACCAGATACAGAAATCAGTTTTCATTCCTAATCCACACATTGCAAGGCCAATGTGGCATATGTTTGATCATAAAAGCAATTTTATTATGGAGCTTCAATTACAATGATGCAGTAGCTATAGTTACTCCAGAATAAGTTGGCACACTCTTTTGAAGCAGGTATAGTATTAGGCTGATCTGATACTAATTATCGGCCAACTGCCAGGGTAAAAATGAGACTTTCTTATGAATTATAAACTCTCACATCTAAAAAAACTATTGAAAGCCCTCAGGGGAGGGGCTGGAAAAAAGCATTAGGAGTGTAAGGTCCCATATTTACGGCTCATTAGCAGAGTTACTAGGCCACCTCTCTGTATCTATGGACTGAGAGGTCTCAAACTCTACCTTAGGAATTCAGTTTTGCCATTTCATTATAACTTCATTATTATTTCTTTTGTTAAGATGAAAGGCTCTCCGGCTCAGAAGTTTTCTTTCAGAGGGAAAACCAAAATAAAACAAACAAAAAAACCCAGAAAAACCTCACACAAAATACTTTCTTCTCATATGGCCTCATGTCTTGATTGCCCTGCTGTTACATGATCTTTTGGTCAAGACCCCAACACCCAGAACAATTTTATGGGTGGCTAGGCAAGACGAAAGATTAAAAATTAAAAAATTTTTGATCAAGTATAAAGGGACTGCCCATGTAAAGGTACAACACAGTCTCAGTTTTTATCCCAGTTTCTGGTGATTACAAGAAAATGGAATACTGCAAAATCCAGAAAACTCCCTACTTTAAACAATCACCTTGCCTGACAGCTTGTACTATGCAAGTACTATGGAGGGACAACCAGCAGACACTTCCCACTGCTGCTCATTTAATATCCACATATTACAAAAACTGGTTGCTAGAGATTACCAAGGTCCTAATTCACAGTCTAAATCCCTTCCACTTCCCTAAGCTTAGTATTTTGTTGGCTTAGCACTTCTGAAGATCTAGGGCTAGACATCAGGCAACTCTATGAAGCAGTAATTAGGGGGATCCGAGAGCTTTGCAGAATCTAAGGTCCCAGATAGACTTTACAGAATGATAGACTGGCTTAGGTTGGAAGGGACCTTAAAGATCACCTAGTTCCAACCCCCCTGACATGGGCAGAGACACCTCCCACTAGACCAGGTTTCATGGCAAAACCTAAATTTCAACTTTGACATTTTCAAGACACTTCTTCAAATGACAGAGATAAATACATTATATAGGAAGAGGAAAAAAACCACCAAATAAAAAAACCCCCACTCACATCCACAGCAAGGAGGGAGAAGTGTTTAGGAACCCCAGTAACTGACACATCCCTGTGTTGAAATAAAAATCAACAGATTTTAATTCAGTTACCTGCTGTGTGTTCATTTGGTCTCTCTCTCAAATGAATCCGTTGATGTTTGATGAAGTCTGAGCACAGACGGAAGTTATTTCCACACTCGGTACACCTATAGGGCTTCTCATCCATATGGACCCTCTGATGCTGGGACAGAGCTACACTTCCACTGAAGCTTTTCCTGCACACAGTGCAGGAAAAGGCTTTCTTTTTCGCGTGGGTTTTGCAGTGAGAGATAAGGTTTGAGGTACGGCTAAAGGTTTTCTCACATTCCTTGCACTTGTAAGGCCTCTCCCCTGTGTGGATTCTCTGGTGCACCACCAGGTTGGCCTTCCTGCTAAAGCTCTTCCCACATACTACACACTCAAACATTTTTTCTTTCTTGTGGGTTTGCAGGTGGTTCAGGAGCCTGGAGCTCTCCTTAAAGCCCTTCCCACATTCTGTACACTTGTAGGGTTTCTCTTCTGTGTGCGGTTTCTGGCCACCAGCGATGAGGGTGAGTTTCTTGGCTCTTTTTTGGTGAAGGGGTTTTTCACAGGCTGCCCTCTGCTCCCTTTGCACACTGGCTGTCCCCCAGTCTGGGCTGTGGGCTTCAGGTAGCTGAAGCACTACATCTTGCTTAAGGTCTCCTGGGATGCCTCTCTTTTCCTCACTGTCACTCAAAATGAAGTCCCCTGATGGAGAAAGAGCAATGTGACAGTCCTCCTTCCCTAAGACAAATAAGGTGCTCCTTGTAAAATAACTGAATTTCTCAGGCATAGCATCAACTTGCACCAGATTTCCCTTTCCCAAAGAGGAAGGCAAATGATAAAGGTTGAGACAAGCAGATAAGGAAAAAAGCGGCACAGGGAAGGAGAGGTAAAAAAAAATAAAAAAAAAATCTACTTCTTCCTTTCCCTTCCCACTTCCTTGTTCTTCTCCTCCTCCGGGAATGGCAAAAGAAACTGCCAAAATGAAGGAAGGAAAAGGAACATGCTGAAACATCTTACCCATCACAAGTATCTACTTTTAGCTATTTGTTCCTGCAGACTTTGCTCAAAAGCCTTCCAGCCTGCTAAATTAGTATTAAAAGACTGTTTTAAAGCTGTGCATTTGGGGAGGGATGGTTCAACACAAAAAAAAGTCCCCTTAACCTTCACCAGGCAAAATCAACAGGGAGGTTTAGGCTGTTTCTCACTTGCGTTACTTTACATTTGCTTAAAAATTGTAAATTACTTCTTTTACAGGTTTGCACATCAGGTTTTTTCCCCCAATGATCACAAGAACAGGTGTAATTATTATAGAGATACTGTATATTCATGCATCAGAAGTCAAAGGAGTTAGACTTTTATTAATAAAAATTAAGTAATTGCCAATTAAGTATTATTATCTCTTTCATATCTAGATCTAGCATGACACCTACTTTTCTTGTAGTGACAAGCTAAATAAATTACATTCAAAGGAAGCTCACAGGAAACATCCAAACATGGTCCTTTCTTTCCTAAAGAATGTCATCTATGTTATTTCACAAATGAGTATGTATGATCATGCACCCCACAGTAAGCTTTGGTTATCTTTCTCTGCCGACTAAATTTTATATTTATATCAGGTCAGCAATAATAGAATCACAAGTATCACCTGATGCACACTCATCTGAGCTTCATTTTTGCAGTTTTGTTAAACTGTTTACTATTAATTCTATTAATACTATTATTAAATACTATTAGAGGACTTGGGCATTAGTATCTGTGATTTCGCACTAAAATATTCAGCTACTCACACTACATATACTTCCCATTTAACACGTCAAGCTTGATTACTCCACTAACAAAAAAAACAGGCTTTCTGCATTCAAGGTAAAACTCTGCAGTGCAATTTTAGTCCTACCTCTATGACACCAGGGAATAAAATTCTTAACTAATGTGCCCTTGAAGGGACAAAATGCTCCCTATTTATGTGGCCACAACTGCCAAGATCTAAATACCAGTGATAAAAAAAAAAAAAAGTACTGAGGAAAGGGAGGAGGGCTCATCTCTTATATCAAGGAATTACCCTCTAGAGGTAGCTTTCTCCCAGAGGTATGAAGAAGACTCCCTCTCGCAGAAGCAGTCATTCCCTCACTCTACAACCAAGCAGCTGATTATTCCCAGAGGCCCATGCAGACACTCCAGGTCTCTGACAGCAAAATGGGAACCAAACAACCCTCCACTCCCATCCAGAACTAGTGCTGGGGAGTCATGCATTTCAGATGCAGCTGTGCAACTCCCTCAGACCTTCCTCACCTACAAGAAAGCCTGAAAAAGAGAAGTGCGCTGGCTTTCTTTCACTCCAAATGAACTGTACCATTTCATTTTAAAACAGCTGCTAAAAACCTACAGCAGAAAGAAACACAAAATACCACTGCCTGCCTTGCCCCAGCCTAGCATGCCATACCGTCCTAGCCACCCAGGACAGAGCAAGCATGTAAGAAGGAACACAATATCCCCAGCACCACTTAGTGGAGCCTCAAGCTTCTCTCCATGACTTAACTAGCAGAGTTTACATCTCACCTGCAATACTGCTTTTCCCAGTCTCCTGGAGAAGAGAGAGCATGGAATCTATTACTGGCTCCATCTAGAAGAGAAGAGGAGAGAGAACCTGAGTGTAAAACCTTCCCCACACAGGTGGGAGGAGCAGACACAGGTGCAGTGCATTTTGGCAGTACCCACAAGCTGCCTAAAAGGGGCAAACCAGCACATGTTATAGAACACCAGCTAAGCAGAGAGATGACAGCCTTCTAGAAAGACCTGAACTTTAGTGACTTGCAAGCTGGAGAGCTTAATCAAGAAACCAGTGTGATTAAAAAGTTATGTTATCTAACCTCAATCTCCCTTGTAACACCAACAAGCACGGTCTGGAAGGGCTGCATTGCCTCCTGGCACAGATCCCACTCCTCTCAGCCTCAACGCCTCACGCTTCTTACCCAACTTTTAATACACCCCCGCCAACCAACAGCTTCCCCTTCCCTCCGGACCCGCTCCACCCCTCCCTGAAAGCCTCCGAGTAGCACCTCAGCCTACCCCAGGCCTGCTTTTAGGCCGCCGGGTGAGCCCGGCCCCCTCCCGGTGGCTGCCCCGAGTCCCTACCTTCCCTCCCGCGGGCTCCCAGGACGGCTGCTGCGCCAGGGGCTCGGGCTTTGCTCCTCCCCGGGCCTGCTGCTGGCTCTCCCCAGCGAAGTGAAGGCAGCGACTGGCACCGGGGAAGCGGTGCGCTCCACCCCACCCCTCCTGCATGGGGCCGGCAGGCCGGGGGAGGTGGGGGTGACGCGGGGCGGCGGGTCCGGGCCCTGCCCCGGGGCGCCGGCCGCCCGGTCCGTTCCCCATCCAAGGCAACCCCCCCGGCGGCGCTGCCGGGAGGTGGGGAACCGGCATCCTCGTGGGCGGCAGGTAACGGCAGGCACTCCTCGGGTTTGCCCTTCGGTAGCGACACCCCCTCAAAACACGGCAGGGGCTTTTCCTTAATTGTCCCGTGGTAGGAGCTGAGTGCTCTCTGGTGACTTCGTGGTTCCATTACCTTGTGCTCTGGCCACGTTCACACATGGGGTGCATCTGGCCCTCACGGTGGGGTCGCTGCGAGAGGGGGGCTGTGACTCGCCCCCTTTGAGGATGGGCAGTGTTGCCCTGGTAGAAGCGCTAGCTTTTCTCCACGGGCTTTCGGGCCCGGTGGTGCGCAGCTGGGCAAGGTGAGAAAGGAAGGGAAGCAAAGAGGAAGACCTGTCCCCGTCATGACAGAGACGTTCTGTCATCTGACAGAGGTGGCAGCAGCAGCTGCCACAGCAAAGAGAAGGCCCTGAAACTCAAGAGCTCAGAAACGACAGATGTGGGTGACCAGTCTTGCACATGGAGCTTCAGGCACTAACCACGCTTCTCAGGGCACCCCCTGTGCCCCTCCCTTGCTCTTGGGCTCCCTCGCCAGCAGGCAGGAGCCATTGGTGAGGAGACATGCTGGAAGGCATCACCGCCCTGTGCTGGGTGCTCTGCTCCGCACCCTTCCCGCCAGCTGCCTGAATTAGTCGCACCTCCTCAACAGCACACGCTTCCTCCAGAACATGCCTGGATGGATGGGTGGTGTTTTACTGACTTGCACGTGCTGCAAATGTAACGCTGCAGGCCCGCAGCAGAGAAGGGCAGGAGAAGCGACTCTGTGGCTCTGCTCCTTCCCTTCTCGAGTTCCCTGGGTATGGAACTTCGCCCACAGTTTTTCCATGATCCAGCCTTTTCCATATCTTAAATTGCTCTGTAGTTCTGCTTCCCCATTTTATCCAGGGATATCCTTGGTTCTTTTTCACTGACCTTCATTTCCATACCATCTGGAAACAGACCAAGGGCTCAGTGAACAAGGTGGGCTGCATCTTTCCATTCGAATGTGGAAACAAAATAATCTCCACATGCACGTTATAACAGAATATTGTTTGGGTTTGATGGCTGTTCCTTTCCAAAAGATGGTTAAAGTCTGTCAAGGCTGATATATTAAAAACAAAAAAAAAGTATTTCAGTTTTGTTAAAACAGTTTTTAGAAAACTTCCTGTAAAAACCCTTTGTGACTATACTTGAGAGTCAAATATAATCACATAACTCCAAAAATTAAGTTAAAACATAAAATATCATTGTATTTGCTTGCAAAGGCCACAAAAGTTAAATGTTGCTCCCTTCCTACCGTATCTCTTACTCCTCTCATCTCCAGTGAAAAAAATAAGGAATTCTCCCAGGAGGTGCCAGTTCACCTCACTCTCGAGACAGAGGTTCATAGGAAGACTAAAATCTTGCTGTCAAGCCTGTTTTTCCCCCAGAGAAGCATTTTCTTCCCTTACAGTTCCTCCTTCTTTCTTTCTGACAGGCGAACACCTACTAGGGGAGAAAAAAAACAGCCAGCATGTAAGAAAAGATCATGACTGACCTGTCAGAGAACCGACCCACGAGTGACCTGCAAATAATTATGGCCACAATAATCCTCCAAGTACAACCACCACAGATTCTCCTGCCATGACCTACAAACTGTTATATTTCTACACACATAAAGCTTAAAACAACATCAAGGGAAAGACCCCTGTATTTGCTCTTTGCTTACACAGAGCTTAAATAGAGCACAAAGGCAAAACTGTGTTGCAACTCATCTTCCCTGATGAAAAGCCGAGCTGGTTGCTTTTCCATCTCAGCAGTGCAGAGCTACTTGGAATGTGCAGGTGCCCAGTATCTCAGTGTCATGTCAAGTCACCAGAGGATAAAAAAATTATTATCTGTATAAATGACACTATTATGTAAGGTCCTTTATTTCCTTAAATGAAGAAGCAGAAGTTATGGCCAAAATAATTTTTCCCTCTGTTAAAATTCAGTGGTTGTCTAATTTTAGCTGTAATGTATGAAGAAAAGCAGCAGGGGGAGATCTACTACTGTACTATATTTATATTACCATAGCTTCTTGGTGACCTTGTACTGGATCGACACGTGACTGTACTTTGGTATTGTACAAATACAAAATGAAATGGTGTTTCCTGCCACAAACAACTTGCAGTCTAGAGTAGCATTAACACAATTCTCTCAAACAGAAAGCACTTTTATATATAATAAACTCTAGCATGATTTATTGCATGTTTTCACCATTTTGGAATTGCATATGGCCCAAATTTCAGCTTTCCAAAATCATGCAGGACAAAAAAGATTCACCACATACCCAAGGAAACTGAGAAATTACACAAAGCATCGCTATACAGAGAATGACTATTTGAATAACTAAAGATGCCAAGAATGCTACTTAAAAATACTTGAAAAAAATGTAATGCATGAATAATTGGAAAAGCATCAAATGAGTTTAAGATTATGTTTAAAGGATGATTCACTATATTTATTTTTACTCCATGCATTTTGATTTTGGTAGTATATTGTAGATGCATTTTGGAGTTTGGCAGGCTCCCTGGTTTTGAGGACTTTCTTGTCTTTAAGGAAGAATAATGAAGTGAATTTCTCAAATGCAAAGGATTTGATTTTTGTTGACTGTAAACCATGCTTACAGGATAGGAGAACCTATCGTGGGAAGCACAGACCCCACAAAAGATTTCAAAAGCCATGGTGGATATCAGCAGAACATAAGCTCCAATGGTGATGCTGGAGTGAAATGTTTAACATAACACACAGAAGCATGAATCAGGAAACACTGCATAAAGCCAAAGATACTAAAAATATTCACCCTATATTTGTCGATCAGGCAATTACTACAGCAATAACAGATTAGCTACTGGGTTTGAAGAAAGAACTAACACAAGCAAGTTCCTTGGCATGTAAGAAGGCAAACTATCACAGCCATCCTTTCTGCCCACCCAATGCCCCCAAAGCCCTGTGGCACTTAAGTTGCTGGTACCCCCCTAAAGTCTATAGAAATGTTAATAAATAAAGGATATCAGAACCTTGCAGGCTGGAGTAAACTTTAGCAGCAGGAAGAGGGTGAAAATGAAGAAAGATGGAAATTCTGCCTTCAAGGAACAAGGAGTGAGGCTGAGAGATTGTGTGGCTACGTGAGGGGGGGTTCATTTAAAAGCCTTAAGGAGCATTCCCAGCACCAATGGACAGATACTTCTTTCTAAGAGCAAGTCCTGACCCACCAGAAACTTTGGCACAGACAATCTGCATGCACAGGAGTTAATTTGACACACAAACTCTGTAAATCAATAGCACTTAATTAGCTTAAATAAGTAGACAAACTGATAAAATGCCCTTCCCAAATAAATCTAGTCATTAAACTTCGATTTAGCAGAAATTTAACAAGAAATATAACTGCAGATAACACTTGTGTTATGGACCAATTGTACTCAAAAGCAGAGATTTTCCATTTTAAATGAAAGCCATTTAAATGGCTTCAGAGTTATGAAAGAGTAACGGTTTCAGAAGAGGGCATCTTTAATCCACGTGGGAAACAATTTGTCTCCATCGCAAAACAGGCTGAAAAGTCTGATTTAATATCCTCCAAATCTGCCACCAGCTGGGCAATCTGGGAAACAGCATTTCAGCCAAATGCAGGCAGACATAGCTCTCAGTCTTACCAGGACTGGCAGAAAAAAACCACCGAAGCCATGGGATAGTTCTGAAATGCCCCACCTGAAAAGCCAGAGGGTTCTGAAAACATTGGTAAATTCTGAAAAGCCAGGAAAGATTTCCCCTGTGTTGAAGACATTGTCAGGCATTTCAGAGGTTTCTAGAAGTCATCCCATGTCCCAGGTAAATCTCAGTGGGACCTGGGGATCTAAAGCCTTTAGAATCCCTTGGCTTCTCAGCAGGGATCAGTCGCATCCCATGCCTACCCCGTATGTCCTGAGACCAGGGTATAATTTGATTTATAAGCTGTGTGAGTAAAAGGAGCATGAAGACCAGAAAATGACTCCTTTGCCAGCCTCCCAGTAAAGAAGTCAGTAAACGGATTTAGAGTCAGAGTAAGCAAAAGAGCCTCTTCTTTTGTGCTTAGAGAAAGTGAATGAAAGGAGAATTACTGGAAACTACCCCTGATTTTGGTGTAGCCATTATGATGATTCAGGAGACAAAGAGTCACAGACAGTGTAGATGATAATGCAGTGTTGAAGCCACGGTCTGGCTCAACAAAGCCTTGATCTTAAGCAGGGACATATCTTCCTTTGCACCCGCATCCTAGAGCATGTAACTCACTTGCAAAGATAAATATGTGCCAGGACACACACATATATATATTAATAGCATTGTGCTATTAGAATTAATCCAGCAGATACATCCCCATTTCACATCTGAAGTCCTAAGAATGCCTGCTTCTCCAGAAAATGTTTCTCAAAGTTTGCTCATTCCTAGATAATCAATTTATTCTGGCAGAATTGGCACCAAAATAGAGGAGAGAGAGGGAGTTCCTGCTCTAAACAGGTATTTATTGACACTATACAAAGCCTGACTTTAACCACCCACTCCTTCTCTTTATTTATTCAAGAAAAAGGCAGAGTAGGACGTAGTCCTAGGTTCTCCAATCAAGACAGAAGCCCATAAATCCAAGTGCCAACACACACAACAGTAGTTACATGCAAGTACATCTGTACACATAGAGCTGCTTACGGAACTATCCGTACACCATGTAGCTCAGCTACATTACGATCTGCTCACAGTTTAGATAGGAAATCAACTGAGGCGTTTAGCAGTATCTACAGTTGGGGAAGTATCAGTGTCACTGCTCTGGGACTCACTCTCCAGGACTTTAGTCCTTTTGATAGATGCTACAAATCTCACACATAGAAAAGACACAGATTGATACACTTATAATAACATTTATATCCACAAATGAGAGAAGTGTTTTGGGATGCTCCCTCCAGGCTCTGCAGTGCCAGCTTCATTTCCCTGCCCTGCCAGTGGTACCTTGCATAAGCTGTCAGAGGCACTCATATTTAACCATTGGCTATTTGTTGACTGGTGCAACTAGACCTTAAGTCTCTGTTCCCCGGTCAGGTATGAGTAAAAATCACATTTTCTTACCTCCCAGGGAAGAGGTAACTTCTCTAAGATTGTGAATATAACTTGCCTAAGACTGTGAAGTGTTTTACCTTCCACACAGTAAGGCTCCAGTTCCACATTCCAGAAGCAGAGTGGAGCAGAGCAGGAACAAGGACAAGGACGGACAAAAAAAATGACCTAATATATGCAGTGCAAAGTGTTCATAGCCTATAAGATCAAAAATTAACTCTGTCATCCTGAGCTGCATAAGACATCTACATAGCTGGCAATCATTTACTAGCTACATCTGTCCATAATGGTATCAGCTAAACTCTGGATGTGAAAACTGAACACAGGCACAACAAGAAAGACTCTCAATTATCAAGATTGTAGATTACAAGACTATTACTGTGTGGGAGACTCCACATTTCAAACAGCATGGGATGACACTGACTATAGTTACACATTTTTCATTCTACCTTATGGTAAGGAGCAAGTGTTCCTTCTCCTCTGTGTGAAGTACAAATTACGTGTCCAACACATGGTTTTGTTTAAAGAGGAGTAATCACTAATCCAAACAGTTTTAAAGGCTAATACCACAAAGCGGATAGAGGTTTCTCAGCTACGGTGCCTTCTGCAGCAACAGACCCAAAACACTATGCACCGATGAGCAACATCTGTATATAACCATGAAATAGCTCCACCAGTAACCACCAAGCACAGCAGTTTCAGCAACCAACAGAGGGCAAGAGGTGGGTATAAATTCAGGACAAAACTGGAGGTAACAGCAAAGCAGTAGCAGTAACCAGCTAATGGATCTGGACAGATAGGGCCATGACAAAATAAAGAGTGCTGAAAAAGCCTCAACCCTCACCTCACTTCAAAGTCCCAAAAGAGGCAAAGCATATAAGTCTACAGGGAACCAACAGGACACCTTCCAATGCAACCAGGAGAACTGCAGTGGGCAGAAGGAAATTCTGCATCAACACAAACAGGAAAGGGGAAACCAGTTAGAAGACCATTATTCTTCACAGTCTGTGAGGGCTGGAGAGCCACAGCTGAATGTAGTTGATGGCCACAAACCTGTGATGGATCATACCCTGGGAACCATGGCAAACCACCATAGGCTGGTACACATGACATAGTATGAATTGCTATAATGAAAGACAGAGGAATCTGCACAGCATTTCAGGAAGAAAGAACTTGGGGAGCTATGAAGAAGAAGCCAGTGTCTGTGACCCAGTCCTTGTGCAAGACTTTATCTTAATAACAAGACAGTTTGGTTTGGGAACTAGAAGGCTGCGTGTTATTTGTCAACATATCAGAGGACACGCAGCACTTGAAATTGGGGAGAATCTGGGAAGGGAACAGTGTGAAAGCACAAGCAGCCAGCCAAGTTATTAATAAATATTTTCTTTGTGGTTCTGTTGGGTTTTTTTTAACTAGAAATATTTTTTTTAATCTGAGTGTAATTTTTCCCCAGTTAAACCTATTTAAATTACACATGAAAAGATGGCCATACATTTTAAAGCCTAGATTTAACGTAACTTATAAAAATAATTTAGCTTATATTACATTAAAAAATAAATTGAAGCACAGCATACCCCTTGCCAAGGTCTTAAAGAAAGTCAAGCACAAAGTTAGACAACATTAAAGCCAGAAAGCTTAGTTTCCCCTTCTAATCTGAATAATCATTTGGTGTGAGATTTATTACAATTATCATCTCAGTTTCTTAAGCTTTGTTTAATAAATATCTCAACTTTAAACATAAAGCATTTCTTGGATGTATTCATCATGTTTCACTTACAAGAAAAATTGAAAATTCTAGGTTTCTCTTTTCCACTATTCCAATTCCACAAATGTCATCTGGAATAAACACAGGAATTATTTAAGAGATAGGAAGTATAATTCAACAGTTTAGAAAATCATGACATTGAAAATTTATGTGGGTTAAATAAATAATTAAATACATGTTAGCTTATAGAACTACTTGTGTGTATATGTAGTGTATTCTCGTCACTAACAAAAAAGGGTTATTTTATGAAAAGATTAGTCTTAGTTTAATATTTCTGAATGTTCAACAAATAATGAGAATCGATCTTTCCTTTAGGGAAGAAAACCCTTAAAAAGTATGCCTACAAAATATGATTAACATCACTTACTTAATTCAAATTTGCTTACTTGGTGATTTAAACTACGATTAAAATCCTTATTATAAATTATTTTGGTATGAATTAAACTACTATAAATTATTCACAGCAAACCATCCTGCTGTCATCCTCTAGCCTTTTATTGCTGTTATTCTGATGACGCTCACCTCTGTGAGTATTATGTTTCAAAGCTTTTAGCTATGCGTCCCTGGCTATCTTCCCAGCTTTTCCTGACCCGGTGAGCCACTGGCTTCATTTCCATTTCCTTCAGCCATGCCACTCCAAAGATATGGAAGTACTTCTGAGAGACAGAAAAAACACATTACCAAACAACCATGGGTCCTCTTTTTTTTCACACCCACTTACTTTGTGCCTCCACCCTCTGTGAGGTTGATGTTGTCCTGTCCCTAGGATCAGCTTTTGCATCGGTATGTAAGTATTAACATAACCTTCCTCTGTGTTGTACTCCTATAGCTGCCTTAACGACAATTTGACTCCAGGTTCCATCTGCCCTACTTGTGACTATTTTCCAGATATGCATATCAAGTATACCACAGATCTCCAGCATGCGGAGAACAAGCTGAACACAATCGCTACTACATTCTGTGAAAGACTTCAACAAAGGCTTTCTCCTCCTCCAGCTGACTCTACCAGGCACTCTGCAGGTATGTAGTTCACTGATCTCTCCTCTTGTTTTTCCATCTCATGGAACACATTATCTTATTTACACAACTTAATTTCTCTCTTGCAATGGCCAATTCTCCTAGCCAACAACTCATCTCAATAAAGCAACATTTGGGTATAAGGTCTGCAGTACAATTACTAGACAAAGCTGTTTAAAAGGGACTGGACAAATCAGAAAACAATTCAGGATGCATGGTGGGGACAGCAGAACTGTTTTCCCACCATATCCGGTCAGAAGGAAAAGTTGCGGTAAGTTTGTTCTAGGGCACCGAAGCAAAATAAAAGTATTTTGTTTCTTCTGCTTTAAGTAACTGTGGAATACACTAGTATTTAACTCCAATTATTTAACAACCATAGTTAATTTTTAACTGAATATTCATGTCAGTATTTAAGCATCCAGAGACAAGTGTCTGTCCAGGTTCTGCGCACCTTTGCATCCCAAGCCAAAAATAGGTGTGTCCTGTCCCGTTCTCTAGGTTGACTCAGTAATTCCAGATTATGTGAGTCATGGCATGAAAGTCTCATGAAAATCTAGGCTTCTCTCTTACCTTTTGGTAAATCCAAATTTATTTTTTTTTTTTCCCATGTGCTCTGAGTTTCCTTTCATCAAAACAGCCTCATTTATGAGTTTGGGAATGTGTCAGGTGCTGGAATTTGGGAATCATGGAATGGTTAGAGTTGGAAGGGACCTTAAAGATCATCTGGTTCCAATCTACCTGCCCTGGACAGGGACACCTTCTGCTAGACCAGGTTGCTCAAAGCCCCATCCAACCTGGCCTTGAACACTCCCAGTGAGGAGGCATACACAACTTCCCTGGTGCCAGGCCCCTGGGCTCTGCCAAGCGCAGGAATCGGCATGTGCAGTTCACTCCTCTTACCTCCCAGCCCTGTCAGGAAACCAGCGTCCTTTCTTTCTGGGGTTTGTCCTGAATTCCCAGGTTCAGGAAAATCACCAACTCTCTCCTCAGGTGCCCTCAGGTCATAGAATCACAGAATGTTTTGTGTGGGAAGGGGCCTTCAGAGATCATCTAGTTCCAACGCCCCTGCCATGGGCAGGGACACCTTCCACTAGACCAGGTTGCTCAAAGCCCCATCCCACCTGACCTTGAACACTTCCAGGGATGGGGCCTCCACAACTTCTCTGGGCAACCTGTTCCAGTATCCCACCACCCTCGGAGTGAAAAATTTCTTCCTAATATCTCATTGAAATCTGCATCCAATGGGAAAGAGAAAAGTCCCATGAGGGTGCACCGGTCATTCAGTTAGCAAGAGCTGTGTTAGCACTGGCAGTATCAGCAGAAGCACAGGAAGGAAGTTTAGGAGAGTATTTGGGATCTGAATTCATGGGAGAGAGGTTTTTGTTTTATTTTAACTGCAGTTAACTAGTGCACGTCACCTACCCTGAGGGAAACCATAGTCAAGATAAGGCACCCATATTTTCTTTAAGGTCAGCTCACAGGGATCAGGTAGGAAAACTCTACTGACCTCAGCAAATTTGCAGGGAGACTACAGGAGTCCCTCATCTTCCTGATCCTGTGCCTTGGGTAACTGAAGTGAATCATTTCAGTGAAGTCAGAAAACACAACATTACTTTCCGTAGTGAAAACAACCCCAAGAAATAGGTATTTCAGGCAGAGAAACTACATGATTTGGAGGAAAAAATACACAACTCATCCACTAAAAATGTCTTTGCATCATTTCTGAAGCACAGGTGCCACATATAGATGGAAAGCTTTGGTAAAAAAGTCTTTCTTATAAGCCCCCTTCATATATTGAAAGGCCACAATAAGGTCTCCCCAGAGCCTTCTCTTTATTCTGGAGCTGGAATAAAGAAACACGAGGGAAGCAACAGAGACCAGAGACCAGAGACAAACACATGCTGGGGAGCGTTAGGTGAAGACAACAACTGAGGCAACAGAAAAATGTGGCAGTGGGAGGAAGTTTGTGAAGGCCGCACAGCAGAGGAGGCTGCAGGACAGCACTGCGACAACTGGAAGCCATGGCATGGCCATGGGCAGGGGGTGCAGGATGGCCAACTGAGGCAGCCCACCAAACCTCGGCCCTTTTTGCTTCTTATGGCCCCGTGATCCCTGACTAAGTGCAGATGCTGCACTTCCAGCCACCATGACTGCACCCCTATGGCAAGACCCAGTTTCCTGCCTACTCTCTATCTTTTCCCGGAATATACTCCACCTTCTCCTCCATTCCAGTCATTCACTCCCCACCCCCCCTCTCCGCCCCCACCACACCAC